AGTGCCAGGAGCAGAGCGCATCCTTTGGACCAGGGTCCCTGCGCAGAGAAGCTCCTAGTCCGGGGGAACACTGATGAGAAGGCCTAGAGAGAGAAAGCCTTCCCCTGGAGCTGACACCCTGAATCTGGACTTTTAGCCTACTTTACTGTAAGGAAATAAACTTCTCTTTGTTAAAACCACCCACTTGTGGTATTTCTGTTATAGCAGCACTAGATAACTAAGACAATGATATTGTTCGATAATTTCCGCATTCAATTGGATCACCTTTCTTGAACATAGGCATAAATATGGATCTCTTCCAGTCAGTTGGCCAGGTAGCTGTCTTCCAAATTTCTTGGTACAGATGAGTGAACACTTCAGTGCTGCATGTGTTTGTGGAAACTTCTCAGTTGCTATTCCGTCAATTCCTGGGGCTTTATGTTTCACCAATGCCTTCAGTGCAGCTTGGACTTCTTTCAGTACCATCAGTTCCTGATCATATGCTTCCCTTGAAATGGTTGAATATCGACCAATTCTTTTTGGTATAATGACTCTGTGTATTCCTTCCATCTTCTTTTGATGCTTCCTGTGTCTTTTAATATTTTCCCCATAGAATCCTTCAGTATTGCAACTCAAGGCTTGAATTTTTGTTCAGTGCTTTCATCTTGAAAATGCCCAGCGTGTTCTTCCCTTTTGCTTTTGTATCTCCAGCTCTTTGCACGTCATTATAATACTTTATTTTGTCTTCTCGAGCTGCCCTTTGAAATCTTCTGTTCAGTTCTTTTACTTCATCATTTCCTCCTTTTGCTTTAGCTACTTGATGTTCAAGAGCAAGTTTCAGAGTCTCTTCTGACATCCATTTTGGTCTTTTCTTTCTTTCCTGTCTTTTTAATGACCTGTTGCTTTCTTCATGTATGATGTCCTTGATGTAGTTCCACAACTCGTCTGGTCTTCGGTCACTAGTGTTCAATGCATCAAATCTATTCTTGAGATGATCTCTAAATTCAGGTGGGATATACTCAAGGTTGTACTTTGTCTCTTGTGGACTTGTTCTTGAACTTGCATATGAGCAATTGATGGCCTGTTCCACAGTCGGCCCCTGCCCTTGTTCTGACTGATGTTATCGAGCTTTTCCATCGTCTCTTTCCACAGATGTAGTTGATTTGATTCCTGTGTATTCCATCTGGCAAGATCCACGTGTATAGTTGCCATTTATGTTGTTGAAAAAAGGTACATTCAAAGAAGAAACCATTGGTCTTGCAAAATTCTATCATGGGATATCAGACAATATTCTGTTATTCATAAGATTTTCATTACCTAATTTTTCAGAAGTAAATTGCCAGATTCTTCTTCCTAGTCTCTCTTAGTCTGGAAGCTCAGCTGAAACCTGTCCACCATGGGTGACCCTGCTTGTATTTGAATACTGGTGGAATGGCTTCCAGCATCACATCAACACTCAAGCCCCCACAGCATGACAAACTGACAGATGCGAAATATATATAGGATAGATATTATATATTTGGATAGATCAGAATCAAAACCAAACCCACTGCCATTCTTAGAGTCTGTTCTGACTCTAGGACAGAGTAGAATGGTCCCCTAGGGTTTCCAAGGCTGTGATCTTTACAGAAGCCAACTGCCACTTCTTTCTCCTACAGAATGGCTAGTGAGTTCAAACTGCTGACCTTTTAGTTGGCCTTTGAACCCTTTAACCACTGCACCACCAGTGTTCCTTATTTCAAGATGAAGGATATATATATATATAAATGAAGCAATACCTGTATAGTATTGTAGACTGTCCATATAATTCATCCTAAGGGATAATGGGATTAGTCAATATCACAGGTTACCTGTAGATTAAAACACTATGGTTACATTTGTGCCCATTTAGCTGGTTTTGATATTTTGTAAACCATGTCTGTGATGTTTAAGGAAATGCATTCAGCTTCCACTATTCTGAGTTCCAATTATTCCCACTGAAATTGGAGATCTCTACTCCATTGCAACATCTTCCGTCTTTATTTATCTCTAATCTCCAGAAGAAATTCAAGGAAGTGAGATATTCCAGGAGGCTGATGTGCTTTTCACCAATGTATTTTATAATTATAGCAGAATGATGAAATGATATATGAGCAAGTTGAACATAATAGATCCCCTCTAACATTCCCATCTCCCTCAGTCTACAGACGCCTTCCTTTACAGTATATTAAAGAGGTTCTGAATTTCAACTTATTAATTATAAGCCACAATAGAGTCCAAATTTTAATTATCCAACTCGGCAGGATGATAACTTATTGATCAGTTGCTTGAGCCAACACATTAACTTCAAACTTCTGGACAAGTGCACCTTTATGAAAATGTGTGATTCAGTCTTAGTTGTTGTTTTTTTTTAAATTGTTTTGGTCTACCACAATGAAAAATCAACCTGTAGTCCATTCCATTGAAATTGTCTTTCTTCGCTGTGTAAGCTAGCTTCTCTCAAAGCAGACTTTACAATTCTCCTTCTGGACTGAAGTGATGAATGTGCTAGAATTGAGTCTTGGGGATATATAGATCCATTATTCCAGGAGAAGTCAT